TATATATATATATATATATATGTATATATATATATATATATATATATGTCTCTTCACGAACGTCGAGGGTGGGAAGGGAAAATTGTAGGAGGGTTGGTAGGTTGGCGTATGTTGAGGTGAAACGAAGTCGCGTCCTTCGCGGGAATCTTGGAAGCGTCTTTTCCACAACAGTGCAGCCCTTGGAAATGAAAGAGGGAGCTAGCTCGCCGTCTCTGACCGAGGCTCAGGCCCTGAGGGATGATGGATGTGGGTACGTAGGAGAGAAAGGGTTGATTCGTATCATGAGCCAGAGTAAGCGAGGCGGATTCCGCGTATAGCGAAAGAGGGTGGTAGATAAAGAGGGGATGGGTAAGAGGGTGGAGTTGTAAGAGCGAGTAGGAGAGACTCGAGAGAGAGAGAGAGAGAGAGAGAGAGAGAGAGAGAGAGAGAGAGAGGGTTGAAGGTATATGGAGTGAGTAGAGACTCGAGGGTTGAGGGTGAAACTAGAGGATCGCTGAGCGCCACGAGAGAGGGAGGGTGGGTTAGGAGGGCGTAAAGTGGCGCAGCCAGGGGTGTGAGAGCCGGGGGCAGTAATCACCTGCGGCGAGGACGAAGGGTGAAGCGGGTAGAGGGGGGGGGCGGTTAGAGGGAAGGGAAGCCGAGTGCCAGAAAGGATGACGGGGAAAGGGAAGGAAAGTAGAAATGAAGAAAAAAGACAGAGACAGCTGAAGAAGAAGAAGATGAAGAAGAAGAAGACGAAGAAGCTCTAAGGGTAGTTGTAGGAGGGTGAGAAGGAAAAGGGCAGGCTCATCAGACGCGTCAGCTGCCCCAGGCGCCGCTGTTCATCCCCACGAGCAGCATTTCCATCGTGGCGTCCTTATTTCGCGCCGCCAAGGATCTCGAGAGGATAGCGCCGTACCTAACCCATCCCAACCATCTATACACCCCCTCGATGTCTCAGCACCTCAGCCCTCTCCACCCACGAGCCGTCGACTTCTCTTCAGCATTTCCTTCGTGCTCGCATTTTCTTTCCAGGCGTCCGAGACGTCGATGCTCGTGTACGTAGGTTCATGTAGCTATGTAAAGACATTATGCTCTGGGTATATAATATATATATATATATGTATATTGTATATCTGCCTATGCTATAACTATGCGTATATCCTGCACAGCTATACAGCTGGTATATACGGCTAGTTAACGATTGCCTAAGCAGAATCTCGTTGGCTTCATTATACAAGGAGACCTCCACTATACTTGACTGGAGCTTCTACTTGGGAGATACCGACAGGATCAAAGTACCTCCTAATCGCGTAATACCTAGCTATTAGGACACTCCTTTAAGTATTCGTTATTCACAGCCTGCCCATAAAAGTCCCTATACCTTGTTTTATACCTAGGGTTATACCTGATACCTTGTTCGTTATTATAAGTCGGGCGTGGCTTAGCCATTATACTATAATCAGGATTTCTTGTTTGAGGCATTCTTCAAGTTGGCAACGGGATAAAACCTTTTTCTTTCCGAGGGTTTCTTAATTTCTTGACACTCTGCCTGCACCGTTGCAACTTTAACCCAAGTTGGCAAGCCCGAAGCGATTTTCCTGCCACCTGCCAGATTTGAGCCATGGCCTTTTGATCGCTTAGCCACGCGCTATCCTAATCGATCATCCACGGATTGCAGCAGGGCTGCCAACGATTATCCTTTCGCTTCTGGGGATTCGTATATCCCACATTCCCCAGACCCTAACCCACACCCTCATCCTGAGGGGTTTCGGATCTTCTTAGATGACTCGCGACTCTGCAGAATCTCGAGATCATCCCTTGAAGGAAATCGGTCAAAGGCCAGGGAGCGTTCGCACTTTATTCTATATAAAATCGATCCAGACTGGCGCCGCTATTTTTAAGTCGACATCCATATATATATTTTTATTTAAATTTCGTTTTGCATCTTTAGATCCTTCAATTTTTTGTGTTTCTTGTGTCCTTTGTTCTTACCGATATTTAATTTTTTTTTTATATTTACTTCTTCGATTTTTCTTTACTTACGTTTTACGCGCTTTTTTTTTCTCCGCCGTCATTCTTTAGAAACCATTTTCAAAATTACCTGCCAAATTGGCCGCCATGTCTCGGCGCACGTGTAGATCGTTAGGAAGATCGATTCGCCTATATCCTATCGAATATGGTATAGAATCTTGGTTTTTATACCCGATTACCTATAACCATGAACTTATTTAAGAAATCGATCGTTTCCACAGTGCGAATATTAAAAATCGTTAATTTGGATTCTTTTCAAGATTTCTTCCCCAGTTAACTCTACATACCGTGTAAACAGATCGGCAAGGCTCCATATGTAAGTCTAACTAAAAATCATTCAATGTATCAGAAACACTATAATAACCGATGACTATGAAAGTTGAAAAAATATTAATTGAAAACGATAAGGGGAACGACCCTGAATACTATTAATTTTGCTCTATTAATTGTGTATTATTTTGGTACCAGCAGGAACTACGTCACAGGCAACTAGGCAGGCAACCGACTCCTTCCGTCCTTGGACAAAATTCTCTAGCAGCCTTGCAGACAGAAGGTTCCGTAGTAAGGTGAACCCCGCCCAGCTGCCATAATCAGGGCAAATTGGTCCCTACCCTAAAGTGGGATACGCCCTAAGCGCCCTGTGATCTTAAACGCTAATCAGGAGTGTTACGACAATTACCAAGTCGAGATAGCAGGTGGTACTGTAATAAATAATTGCTTATAGAATGCAAAACTCGAACAGACTTAAAGGCACAATAGACAGCATAACTAGGACCCCGTGTCCTAGTGAAATTTTGATATCACGAGTCGTGCTTTCGAATAATCAAAGTACGTGACTGCATCTCAAAATGAAAATATCTCATGGATCTTTTTTTTCGATTTTGAAAAAATTCAACAGTCTAGATTGAACGATCATTCTCTATGCATTAAAGCCGTTAGTCTTTATTCTCTATGCAATAAATTTCAATGTAAAGCAACGATATCAGAGAAATTCAAAGTTCATAGTACAGAAATATTTACATGGAAGAGAAATTGTATTTCTTAAACTGGTTAATTTATCTGATTTATTGTTGCTCAAAAATTACATTATATTATTTCCAAAAATATTGAAATACTTTAAAAAGCCAAATTTTATTTGTCTATTAAATGCCCACAGTGTATACCTTCTGTTGTTAGAGTTTGACTAGAATTTCTGGATCGTACCGCACGTATCCGAGTACACTCATTAATATATATTATATGTATACACATGAACCTATGTGCATCCACGTAGAGGATAGGAACCATGGTAGATCGGAAGACGGATTAAGCAAAATGGCCGGCAGTAATCTTCCGGTTTAGCTTCCGTAAATTTGGCGAGGACCTTGGCTTCTCCAAAGATGAGATGCAGATGGGTGGATAGAGAGTGAGAGAGAGAGAGAGAGAGAGAGAGAGAGAGAGAGAGTAGGAAACGAAAAGGAGAAGTAAGGGTAAGTTTCTCTTTCTCACTCACTCACTCACTCACTCACTATATTCCTCTTTACTTTCGCAGGTAGGAATGTCGTCGCAACAGAACTCGTCTCTCAGCCAGTGTTGAATCTTTAAGAGTTACATTAAAGGGCACCAACTTTCCTCCCTCTTCCTATTTATCCACCCACCAGCCACCTTCAATCTGTCTATCTCTCTCGTTCCAGTCGACCCAGCAAAACCTCTTGTACACGGACAAAATTGCCAATCCGATCCAAGCACCAAACCATCGGCACGCACGTAAGTAGGTAACTCCGCCTCGCAGTCAGACGAACAAAACAGAAAGTAGTACGTACAACAACAGAGTCAAGTGACAAGGAAGCACAGAGATAGGATCTATACGTATACAAGATGCATCCGTTATCCAGTATCCAGTCTCGCGATGTACAAACGACAGCAGCGCCTCCACGCGTCTTCCGGCAAAGTCAAGCGACGCGCAGAGCTTCAAGAGGGATGCACAAAGCGGCTGTTTGATGGACGTGCCACGCCCAAAGACGGGCGCAATGGCCCTATCAATTTTCGCCGCTCTCTAATTTGCCCGCCTTCTTGAGATACCGACCGATATTTACGTTGTAACGAGAGCCGACGCTTGATGTCCGCTCACCCTCCGTGTCCGCTACGTTTCAATTTTCGTCTCTAATTCCAAAACGTTCCGCCGTCTACCATAGGGACTTATACCTGTTTCTATTTTAAATGAACAATCCCCACGTTCCGCAGGCCCACAAGTCTTATTGTATTACGAACTTTTTATCGTATGCTTGCCAACCTGGCTATTTATAATTAATACTTAGTAATTGGTATACTTACTTAATTAGTTACGTCGCCAAAGTTATTTTAGTCGCTAGTAGTACAAGATAATCGTGGCACTCAGTCGTTCATGGAATATACACATGCATCTGTAAGCGTGTATGGATGGTGAGTGAGGATAAAATGGAAAGGGCGACGTGACGTAGATGGGATGGAGAGGGAGATCCTGGATGATCATATAAGCGAAGCGAGTAACGAGATTTTAATACCCAGCCGGGTCCAGCGCAGGTCGGAGGATGAGAAATCTCTGCGAGGTGGCGTCGTATGCTAATGCTAAGCGGTACGCCTCAATTAGCGGCAAAGACAAAGACTCGTGATGGTTTGCGAAATATCATGTTTTCGAACCCTTCTCTGTCTCCTGTACCGCGCAGGATGCTGGATGTAGAGAGATAAAGATAAAAGATAAAGAAGGGTCGATACCGTCTGGAATACAAATAGGACAACAGTACGAAGTCCATAGGACAGCCGGTAGAGATTGTCGTTCATAACCTAAAATATGAGGACATTCATCCTCAATGTTTTTCCAGAATCTCTCTCTCTCTCATCTCGCCCGTGCAATTCGAGGAGGCAGAGCGCGCACATCCTGCCGAGATTTCACCCAGGAAATTGATCGACGATCCCCAAGACTGGCGTCGATTGCGTCGCTTCTTCTTCCTCTTCCTTATCTCCCGCGTCCTTCCTGGTAATCCCGCGGGCAGGTGGGAGGGAGAGGAGAGACAGGCTCCAGCGGCAATTCGCAAATGGATGCTGGGAAGATGGAGCCATCGTATCCAGCATCTGTGACTCGAGCGGGAATTCCGTGCAGATGAAGTCTGCAGGATGGCAGACGCGTGACGTGGAATATTGCGGTTGGGGTCGAGAGCTTTGTTAACGGCGGCAAAGAGGCGTCGGGACGCTTTGGAAAATCCGCATGGGACGCGTGTACAGTCTCTCTCGTAAGAAATAATTGTACCTATGCTTGGTGAGGGGTTACTGGTGCGACGGAGGGGCGACGAAAGACTAAGAGTGGGGATAGAAACAAATCCGAATGTATTCGAATACTTTTGCCGACCTTAACCGAATTCTTTATCTCATTCGGTACAAGCCAACTGTGCTTCGTATACAATACTATACGTGTACCATGTGGGTTACATGTTCGCTTTGTAAGCCGGCTTGGCGCCTTCTTAAATAATGTATCCAAGGGACGCCAAAGGACGCGCTACTGTGAAGTCGACTGCCTGCCGTTACATATAGTATGTATTAAACGAAGGAGGTTTGGGTTCCCGAAGTTCGGAAATCTTTGAATTTTTTTTTTAATTTCTTAATAACGTATATCCGATATATTTAAGATTACTCTAAAAATATCTTGACATTCTTGATATTCGTTTTATTCGAACGTCAATATTACGTCTCTGCAATACCGGCGGGAAATGCCAAGAGGGCCGTAATGACGCTTTTTACTGGTTAATAATAGTTGGACATCCGCTTGGGTTCCGTAAGGATCGATCTTGTCGTTTTATTTTGTTCCTCGGCTACCGCTTCGGCAGATCGGCTTGATTGGTCCGTTAGAGAGTACGGTCACCTAACCTCTAAGGTAGTTTTAACGATCGGTAATCAGACGCGGGATGACGCGGTCGTTAGGAGACTCATAGGAGCTGCTAAAAAATCTAATGGAGAGGATCTAAAAAAAAGAGTAAAAGACGTTAATGATCCAAGAGGTTAACCTGAAACTTTTGCACAGAGTGAAAAGAAGTCCAGCGGAAATTTTTCACACGCCTTCTTTATTCTCATGCGATTAAAAAATTTCATTGAGCCACGTGACCTCGCTCCCTTTTTTTTTCAGTGATCTTTCAAACTCCTGAATGCGATAAAGAAAATTTTTTAATCGTGACATCCCGACAGTGGATAGGATAAAGTAGGGTTCTGCAATGACAACAATAATTCGTAGACCGATACAGATCAATATATGAGTATATTGACTGCGTAACTAAGTACATTGAATACGGAATCAGATCCCAAGATATTTAGCAATATAGTCATAGTTAGGTGGTGATGTGGTGGTAGTAGTGGTGATGGTTCCATTTATTCATTTTTCTTTTTTTCATTATATTTTACTTTTTCCTTCTCTTTTCGCGAAATTCTCTCCTCTTCGTCCTCGTCATCATCATCATCATTATCATAATCATCATCATCATCATCATTATCATCATCATCATCATCGCCTCTATCCTCGTAATTACAAGCTCACGCGTCTATCGCTCGCACGATCGCGGAATTGCGCGTGTGTCTCTTATATCGCATATACCTAGATAACATCAAAATAAATCTATATCTCGTAATAGCAATAGTTTCGACGATGGACCGGGTTTTCTCTTTTACTATGTACAAAGTGACGGACTAAAAATACAGGTGCTTTCATCTTAAATCTCTCATATACACTCTTCGCGCGTTCAGATATTGACAATCATACTTTTATCTCGTAATGTATCGTAGAGACATCAATTTTTCTTTATTGTTTATATCTTTTTCTCAATCTCACTCTCTCTCTCTCTCTCCCTCTCTCTTATTCGCTCTCTTTGCCATTTACATACATACAATTATATAATAGATACATGCCTCTGTCGCTCTCTATCTATAGATATCCTTTCGTGACGCTTTTCTTCTCACGTATGATTATGCGAGGATCGTTAATTCTGAAAGATTTCACGTGTTTAATATAAGATTTTGGATTTCCTGTGACCTTGATTTTATTTATTCCTCCGATAATTCATCTTCTTCCGAGATATTGGATCTTTGCCAGAATTAAGGATCCCTCGTGCTCGTTAATAGGAAGTGACAATTGGTATTTTTTTTTTTTTTTCATATTTTTCTTTTATCTCGAGGTGAACATCGAACGCGTTGAAAAAATGGACTTTTAATTAGGCGTAATGTATTTTACAAGGTTTATTGCCTCTCATACTACTTTGGCATTCAGGCTCGTCTCCCCGCCAATCGGATTACAATTATACGAAAATTCGAATTCGAGATACGGATCGGTATCGAAGAGGTGGGATCCGCGAGATGAATAGTCCCTGGAAGATACTCAAAAAGGAAAACAGTGTCTTCATCTCGAATTCGAATTCATATACTCTTTTAATGTGACTTTTCATCATTAACTTGAAACCTCAGTTGGACGTCTCTCAGAGACTGACTTTGTACAGTGTTCTCACGGCTGCGTAAGCTTTACCAGGGTCTCCACATGCCCTCTTCGTCTTTGACGGGCTGAGGCCCAATCGGAGACGGAGATGGCATCCTGACACCCTCGCTACCCGCATGACTCGCCGGCCTCTCGTCCTGAGGATCCACCTGACCCCGCGACACTTGAGCACCCTCGAGACCCGTCATCCTCGTAGACTTCAGCTTCTTCGACGTGGTAAAGTCCAACGGTTGCTCAGGCTGATCCATCCTGGGACTCTTGCTGGGCTTGGCACCTTCGGACCATTCTGGGAGCTCGTCGTGGGGCCTCTTGGCGAGTTTATCCGTAGCCTTGAGAAGGGACATATTGGTCGCGGCCCAAATGGCGGTAGGCGGATTGGGCCCGATGCTGATGCCATTGGCTGCTGCAGCCGCAGCCAATTGGACATAGTGACTAGGTAAGAGGAACACGACCTGGCCGTCCGGTAGCCGAGATGGTATCACCTGGACCACGGACAGCATATTCGGATTCTGCTGCGACGTAGACGCCTGATCACCTGGCATCCCAGCCGGATGATGTTCCATGCCAGTTGGATTTACTTGACTGAACGCCGAGGTGGGTCTACTGCTGTTGTTGTTCTCGTCCCCAGCCGTTGTACTACTGTCCGGTCTGGTGGCGTCCATTTCCGGTATCTCGGACTTTATCAGTGCCGTATTAAGCGCCGTGCTGCAGTGAGGCGTCGGCGGGGCATGATGATCCAGGGGACCTGGGCTCGTGGCACCGGTCACTCTGTCCGTAACGCTTCCGGGACTGCTACCGAGACCACTATCAGGTCGGGAACCAAGATCCAAATCCAATTCGGATACGCAACTGTCCAGATGTCGAAGTAGCCTCTGCTTGACAGCTGGATCCATGGGACTAGTATTGCCAGTTATTATATCCGGCGCATCGAGGTAGCGACTGACCTGTGACACAATGAAAAACAACATTACGTCAGACATTAAATTTCTTGTTCCAGATATCGGAAAGTCGAACGACATTCTAATAACGTCGCCAGAGCGAGAAACTAAAACCATCACCGGACACAGATAGGACATAACCACCACGGAAAAATAAAATTGTATTAGAAAGCAAATTTTTCAAATTAAAACTCGCTCGAGTGACCAGCTGAACTTTCATGGATCGCTGGTCCAAAGTAAAAGCAATAACCAAATCCTGTATAGTATTATCCATGAACTGTGCTGTATACCGTATTGCGCTGTGCTGCGTGCGTGTCGTATTGGCGAACGTCGTCGTTCACGCAGGAATGCCGAGTTCTCGACGGATGGAACGGAACGGAATGAAACGGAATGAAAGACGCAGGGTTGGCGGTGAAGAGAAGCGAAGAGAGAGAAAGAGAGGTAGCGAGAGAAGGACGGCGTGACAAGGCACGTGAGTGAACGAGAGAGAGAGAGAGAGACAAAGCTAAAGAACCCACCACACCCGTATCCCATTGCTCGGCTGCCCGTTTTATAAGGCCGTAAATTTTATTTCACCGGGGGACCTTCTCGCGCTATCATATATTACCAACAGTTCGTGATTTTACCACCTAGCTCTTTGCGACACCGTACACAGGCTCCATTTACGAAACGGCCATCTTTTCCAAAAAAAATTCTTCGTTCGCACCTCTCACTTCCGGTTTACGTAGAAAAAAAAAAAAAAGAAAAATACACGCTCACACCCGTTACTCGATTTACGCAAAAGTAAACTGTATAGAAAAGAACCCCTGTATACAAAAAAAAAGTAGTACTGAAAAAAATATTCAAAATCCAATTATTACCAAAAAAAAGAAAATCCCACCAACGAATAATGCATTAGGATAGTCGACGATATTACCGTTATTAGCCAAGTAAAGAGTCTTGGACTTTTGGAGATATCCTATCGCGCCAACAGGTAGATACAACTTAGTCCGCGCGTGCATGGCTAAATATAGTCGTAGCCGTAAGTCACTTATATACAGGGTGTTCAATTTCAATCGAGGTACGTTATCCGCGTCCAGGTTACACGATCGTGTATTAAGGGGGTCATCCCGTACACGGTGAAGTGGTACAGGGGGGCTTGAAATTTGAAACCATATAACTCGACACCGGATTTTCGTCCTGGACATTCAGTTGACGTACGCCTCGTTAAGGGATCATCACAGTGTGACCGCCCGAAAAATAGCCGATTTTCGCGATTTTTTTTTTAGGTGAATGGAGTAAAGTAATCGGTCTAATTTTTTGGTTACAAATTGAAGCACCTATGAAATATACAAAATTATTTTTAAAAAGTTTCTTTATGTATTGTTTAACGTTGTTTTTATTTGTGGAAAATTGAATGGGAAAAAAAATGGTGTCCCATGGTGGTCAGGATTGCGGGCGCAAATTTTACCTCAAACAAAAATTTCAAATGGTTTATAAATCTGTAGGAAAGCCCCTATGCTCCTATGGAAGCTTTTTTGTTTTTAGTGAAATTTGAAAAAATGGCGTCGGTTCGAACAAAACGTATAAAATTTAGCCTTTTTTTTTGACAGTTTTTCGTAAAAAAAAAAATAGGAAGATTTAAAAAAAAAAAGAAAAAAGCTTCCATAGCAACATAAGAAATGACGTGAAGAATGTTCTGTTAAAATTTCAAATTGATAGCTTGAAAATTCTTCCTTTGAGAGTGGCCACCGTTTTGAAAAACACCATTCCGAGAAAAACGCGTTTAAAGTTCGGAGTGCGCCAGGTCTGACCGTCCAATCCCTTTTTCTAAGAAAGGCTGTAGCGACCGAAATAATTCGAATTTCGACATAAAAATTGGACAGAACGTTTAAAACCGTGTATACTATCAGATAATGAAAAAAAAAAAAAAATCGATTTTTTGAAAATTTTATACTATGATGATCCCTTAACTGGCGTAAGCGCTCATCTCCAAGTAACACGAGCCACCAGGTACGAGTTATCGGGTTACCGAATTTTGTCTCTCTACCCCCTTTATTCTCCCCACGAAATTTTATTTAACCTCACGTTTACGTAGATTGTTGACATTTTCTTTAGGTACAGTATTAGGCAATAGGTACTGACCTCTCTGGAACAGTCCTGATAACCGGCCTTGTACCTAGAGAGTCCAGGTTGGGCCAGGGACCTCTGCCTCTGGAGATGTCTCACGGTCAACTCTAGGATATCCGCCTTCTCCAGTTTACTGTGCTTCGTATTTTCCAACCGGGCGCTGTCAAGGATCAGCGCCTTCAGCGCTGCCAGCGACTGATTGATCCTCGCTCTTCGTCGCTTTTCCATCAGTGGTTTGTTAGCCTGTTAACAGATAAGGTAATTTCATAAGTAATAATACATACAAAAGTAACTGATATATATATATATATGCATTGTTTATATGGAAAATTAAATAATTAATATGATTAAATTAAATTATCAATAGTCCAATTGATCGTCTGAAATAATACGGCACTGGAGATCGAAAGTGTACAACATTAACAGAACCCCGAAAAAAAATATCGAGAGTACATAACCTCAATTTCAAAGCACAATCCACGACCTGCAGTATCAAAATACAGTACAGAGTAATCGAGTGGTTTTTGCATTCTATACCTAGTCCGAGGTACATAACGTATAGATATACAAATATCTATTCGTGTATCGTCCTCGTCACGACGTGACAGGCTTTCGACGACGTCCTCGTCTGAGTCGTCTTGGAGCACTCCGGGGGTTCCGATTTCCTAAGAATCATCAGTTTGTTTACGGAAGATCGAGGTGAGAGTGGCGACGGGGAGATGGATCATATTTCTATGACTTTCTAGGTTAGAAATGTAGGAAGCAAATAACGTCAGCGAAGAAATAAGTCAACGTGCGAAACGTGCTCGAAAAGAAGTACGAGGACGAGTCGAAAGGATACGAGACCTTAGAAGAGGAGACCGGTGCGTCCGATTTTCAGATATTCCTTGCGCTACGTCTGTCCTTATAGATGGTAAAGAAAAGAGTAAGAGTGAAGAAGAGAGAGAGAGAGAGAGAGAGCATCGGAAGCCAAACGTAATAAGAACAAGACAACGTGAGTAACTCAACACAAGAGAGAGAGAGAGAGAGAGAGAGAGAGGGAGTGAAAGAAAGAGAGAGAATCTCAAGGTAGTGAAGTCTGGTCGGAGCCGGAACGAAGTGCGTCAGTGCGTAGCGGCTCGTTTGAGACGCGGCAAGAGACGCCGACGCCGTGCCCGCTATACAGCTCGTTCCCAGTTCCTCGGCGTCTTTTTTCTTTCTTTCCTTCCTCTTTTTTTTTTACTTCTTCGCTCCCCCTCCCACCTTTCTCGGTCCTCGCGTTCGTTTTTCTCGCGGCGCGCGAGTGAGCTCCGCGACGCCCCGGGGCGCTGGCAGAGTGCCGAAGCCCCGTCGCCGTCACGACGTTCTCGCGCTTCACGACGCTCGAAGGAGGTACGATAGGGGGGGGGGGGAAGGGGG